GTGAGTATGTGCTCACTGACAGAACTGTTTTCCTCCATCTTACAGCTGAAGAACTTGTCGGAGACTTCATATCTCTCGACCCGGGCATGAGCTTGAAAAACCATTTTCAGCTCTTCGAACATCTCATATGCTTCGTGTCTTTCAAAACGCTTTTGGAGCCCCGGTTCTAAGCTGTAAAGCATGCCGCACTGAACGAGGGAGTAATCATCGGAACGTGTCTGCCAAGCGTTCATAACGTCTTGTTCTGCAGGGAGAACAGGTGCTTCACCTAGCGGTGCTTGTAGGACATAATCTTTCTTGGCAGCTATGAGGATGATCCTCAGGTTCCGGACCCAGTCCGTATAGTTGTTGCCATCGTCTTTCAGCTTGGTTTTCTCTAGGAACGCGTTGAAGTTGAGGACAACGTTGGCCATTTGATCTACAAGACATGTTGTAAAGGTTTTAGACTAAGTTCATGATAATTAAGTTCATCTAATCAAATTTTTCAATGAACTCCCACTCAGATAGACATCCCTCCAGTCATCTAAGTATAACATGATCCGAGTTTAACTAGGCCGTGTCCGATCATCACGTGAGACGGACTAGTCAACGTCGGTGAACATCTTCATGTTGATCGTATCTTCTATACGAATCTTGCTCAACCTTTCGGTCTTCTGTGTTTCGAGTCCATGTCTGTACATGCTAGGCTCATCAAGTCAACCTAAGTGTTTGCATGTGTAAATCTGTCTTACACCCGTTGTATGTGAACGTTGGAATCTATCACACCCGATCATCATGTGGTGCTTCGAAACAACGAACTGTCGCAACGGTGCACAGTTAGGGGGAACACTTTCTTGAAATTATTATGAGGGATCATTTTATTTACTACCGTCGTTCTAAGTAAACAAGATGTAAAAATATGATAAACATCACATGCAATCAAATAATAATAGTGACATGATATGGCCAATATCACATAGCTCTTTTGATCTCCATCTTGGGGCTCCATGATCATCTTGTCACCGGCATGACACCATGATCTCCATCATTGTGTCTCCATGAAGTTGCTCGCCAACTATTACTTCTACTACTATAGCTAACACGTTTAGCAATAAAGTAAAGTAATTTACATGGCGTTTCTCAATGACACGCAGGTCATACAAAAAATAAAGACAACTCCTATGGCTCCTGCCGGTTGTCATACTCATTGACATGCAAGTCGTGATTCCTATTACAAGAACATGATCTCATACATCACATATATATCATTCATCATTCATCACAACTTTGGCCATATCACATCACAGAACACTTGCTGCAAAACAAGTTAGACGTCCTCTAATTGTTGTTGCAAGTTTTACGTGGCTGCAATAGGGTTCTAGCAAGAACGTTTTCTTACCTACGTGAAAGCCACAACGTGATTTGTCAACTTCTATTTACCCTTCATAAGGACCCTTTACATCGAATCCGCTCCAACTAAAGTGGGAGAGACAGACACCCGCCAGGCACCTTATGCAACTAGTGCATGTTAGTCAGTGGAACCGGTCTCACGTAAGCGTACGTGTAAGGTTGGTCCGGGCCGCTTCATCCCACAATACCGCTGAAGAAAAATAAGACTAGTAGCGGCAAGAAAGTTGACAACATCTACGCCCACAACAAAGTTGTGTTCTACTCGTGCAAAGAGAACTACGCATAGACCTAGCTCATGATGCCACTGTTGGGTAATGTTGCAGAAAACAAAAAAAAATCCAACGTTTTCACCAAGATCCATCTATGAGTTCATCTAGCAACGAGTGATCGGATGCATCTACATACCTTTGTAGATCGCGAGCGGAAGCGTTCAAGAGAACGGGGATGAGGGAGTCGTACTCGACGTGATCCAAATCATCGGAGATCCTAGCGCCGAACGGACGGCACCTCCGCGTTCAACACACGTACGGTCAGCGTGACGTCTCCTCCTTCTTGATCCAGCAAGGGGGAAGGAGAGGTTTATGAAGATCCAGCATCACGACGGCGTGGTGGTGGATGCAGGAGTCACCGCAGCAGGGCTTCGCCGTTCTACTGCAAGAGGGAGAGGTGTAGCAGGGGAGAGGGAGGCGCCAAGAGTCAAGGGTGCTGCTGCCCCTCCCTCCCCCCCTTTATATAGGCTCCTCAAGGGGGGGCGCCGGCCCTAGGAGATGGGATCTCCTAGGGGGGGCGGCGGCCAAGGGTGGAGTGGCCCCCAAGGCAAGTGCCCCCCCCCCCACCCTAGGGTTTCCAACCCTAGGCGCAGGGGGTGGGCCAAGGGGGCGCACCAGCCCACTATGGGCTGGTTCCCCTCCCCACTTCAGCCCATGGGGCCCTCCGGGATGGGTGGCCCCACCCGGTGGACCCCCGGGACCCATCCGGTGGTCCCGGTACAATACCGGTGACCCCCGAAACTCTCCCGATGGCCGAAACTGCACTTCCTATATATAATTCTTCACCTCCGGACCATTCTGGAACTCCTCGTGACGTTTGGGATCTCATCTGGGACTCCGAACAACTTTCGGGTTACTGCATATTCATATCTCTACAACCCTAGCGTCACCGAACCTTAAGTGTGTAGACCCTACGGGTTCGGGAGACATGTAGACATGACCGAGATGGCTCTCCGGTCAATAACCAACAGCGGGATCTGGATACCCATGCTGGCTCCCACATGCTCCTCGATGATCTCATCGGATGAACCACGATGTCGAGGATTCAAGCAACCCCGTATACAATTCCCTTTGTCAATCGGTACGTTACTTGTCCGAGATTCGATCGTCGGTATCCCAATACCTCGTTCAATCTCGTTACCGGCAAGTCACTTTACTCGTACTGTAATGCATGATCCCGTGACCAGACACTTGGTCACTTTGAGCTCATTATGATGATGCATTACCGAGTGGGCCTAGAGATACCTCTCCGTCATACGGAGTGACAAATCCCAGTCTCGATTCGTGCCAACCCAACAGACACTTTCGGAGATACCTGTAATGTACCTTTATAGTCACCCAGTTACGTTGGGACGTTTGGCACATCCAAAGCACTCCTACGGTATCCGGAAGTTACAACGATCTCATGGTCTAAGGAAAAGATACTTGACATTGGAAAAACTCTAGCAAACGAACTATACGATCTTGTGCTATGTTTAAGATTGGGTCTTGTCCATCACATCATTCTCCTAATGATGTGATCTCGTTATCAATGACATCCAATGTCCATAGTCAGGAAATCATGACTATCTGTTGATCAACGAGCTAGTCAACTAGAGGCTTATTAGGGACATGTTGGTGTCTATGAATTCACACATGTATTACGATTTCCGGATAACACAATTATAGCATGAATAAAAGACAATTATCATGAACAAGAAAATATAATAATAATGCTTTTATTATTGCCTCTAGGGCATATTTCCAACACGCCGTGTCGTATCGCTCCTCCCGTGCATGCGAACGCACCATCCCCGTCAACGTTTGCGTAACCGCGCCCTGCCGGCGGAGCAACAAGCCAGCTTTGCGGAGATCGATGAAGTGGTGGCTATCATGTCCGCACCCGCCGTCATCATCGAGAAGAAGTAGAATATGGGAGACAGTGAAGGTGATGCCGGCATATACAGTCGGTGTCTTGGCCGGCAGCAGGCCACCGCCGTCCCCTTCCCCTCCGGCTGAAGCACATCCCAGCGGTGCCACTTCAATGAGCGGCGCTGCTGAACATGGGGAAGAGACGCCCTTTGCGCTGAAGCATATACTGCCGGGGCTCACAGCAGTCCGATGAGCGGGCTGCTGGACATGGGGAAGACAACAAAGATCCGCCGCGATCGATCGTAGACTAGTGTTTAGTTAAAAAATGTAATGAATTTTGCTTGGTTTATATGAAATCCGTCGTGTCTGCATGAATTTCGTTCAGTCCCGTAACCGTTTCCGTGGACTTGCCTCTTGTCCGCGGACAGATGACGAAACAAATTTGCAGGTCAACATTGAAGATGACCTTGATCATTTTTAATGTTGACACCAGATCTCAATGCCACCACCGGCCGTAGCTGCCCCTCCCCTATGGTTCCTCCTTTTCGGGCCTGTAGCCGCTGCTCGTCGGCAGTTTAGTTAGCGGGGCTAGCCAACGCTGCGGCCTGCGGCGGCTTCCCTAGAGCGAGCTCCGTCGTCGTCCCCACCAGCGCGTGGAAGACGACTGAGTAGCACTCCGGTAAGTCTTGCAGTAGATTTCCAATCTGCCATGCTGAAATGGATGAGATTCGTCTGTCCGTCCGAAATCCCTGTTTTGCCATGTTGTCCCATTCAATTAACCCAAATCGCATAAACAAATCCAAACACAGGGATTTAGTGTTTGGATTTGTTTATGCGATTTGGGTGGACAATCCCAGATCTCACCACTTGAGCTTCGTTTGTTTATGTCCTACCACTAGTTCGATGCTGCTGTCAACCATGCCGCTTTTGCTGTTGGCAGTCCTCTGCACCCACCACCACAGCTCTGCTAGTCAGTCCACACGCGTTTTCATTCACAAGTCTCGTTGCCTTTTCCCTCCTTGCACACACGTTTACATTGACCTGCCGTGTCCAGTTAAGCATACCTTCACGTCCATGTCTGGTAGTGGTAGACAAGTACGTACTACTTCAAAAGCCATATTCACCCAAGATCAATCCAACCTCAAACCTTAGCACCCCCTGTTCTTTCACATCGACATCATGCCCTCTGTCTTGTCTCTGCTCTGTATTTTGTTCAGCCTTTTCTCCTTCAACACATCGTCATTAGCTGCCACACAAGCAAATGTGTCTCAGATTGATCGCCATGCCCTCCTTTGCTTTAAATCTGGCATCACCTTCGATCCCCTCGGCATCCTACACTCATGGAACAATGGCTCGCTTGATTTTTGCAGCTGGAAAGGGGTCGCTTGTGGCACCAAGTTCCCGCCCCGGGTGGTCTCTCTTAACCTCACCTCCGCTCGTCTTCGTGGGCAGCTATCTGGATGCGTCAGCAACCTGGCATTTCTTTCGCGGATGAACCTTGCTGATAATCATCTGTCAGGAACCATCCCCGAAGAGTTGGGTAAGCTTCCAAGCCTCCATACGCTGAATCTTGCCGGCAACAATCTTCAAGGTAACATCCCTGATTCCTTAGGCGCTAGCAGTTTTCTTAGCTATGTCGACCTTGCAAACAACACTCTTACCAGTGGCATCCCTGTCTCGCTGGCCAACAGCGTCTCACTCACCACACTTATACTGTCACGTAATAACCTCTCTGGAGTGATCCCCTCTACTCTGTTTGATAACTCGTCCAAGCTTTCTGTGGTTGACCTCCGGATGAATTCTTTAGCTGGTCCCATCCCACATTTCCGTAAGGTCACAGCACTCAAATTTCTTCGCCTGACAGACAACTTGCTCTCTGGAAGCATACCTCCATCAATAGGCAATGCTTCTTCCCTCACCTCTATATTGCTCGGCCAAAATAAGTTATCAGGATCAATTCCAGAGACTTTAGGTCACATTACAAAACTCATTGAGCTTGACCTAGGTTTCAACAGTCTATCAGGGATTGTCCCGTTGCCTCTTTACAACGAGACATCACTCAAATATTTTAGTGTGGTCAGCAATGCCCTTGTTGGACAGATGCCATCCCACATTGGTTACTCGCTACCAAACCTCCAGTTCCTTATCATGGGAAGCAACAGGCTGGAGGGCCTGATCCCTGCTTCACTAACCAACATGTTAAATCTCCAAACACTTGACCTTTCAAACAACTCGCTACATGGCTATGTTCCTTCTCTTGGTTCGTTGGCAAACTTGCGCCGGTTAGATTTAGGAAGGAACTTGCTAGAAGCACATGACTGGTCATTTCTTACATCTCTAGCAAATTGCACCCAGCTGATAAAATTGTCGTTGGAAGGGAATGCTCTAAATGGCAGCCTGCCTATATCAATTGTTAACCTTTCCAAGAGGCTACAAGATTTATCGCTTGGGTCAAACCAAATTTCGGGCTCCATACCTGTTGAGATTACCAATCTTGTTAATCTCACTTTGCTTAGGATGGAAAGCAATTTTCTTTCTGGAAGCATACCTTCTACCATCGGGAAGCTACGAAACTTATATATCCTAAATCTATCAAAGAACAAATTATCAGGTCATATCCCTCCCTCAGTTGGTGACATCGCCCAACTTGGCAAGCTTTATCTTGACAATAACAACTTGAGTGGAAACATACCTGGTAGTTTAGGTCAGTGCAAGGGACTTCTTGAACTGAACTTGTCTCGGAACAATCTTGGCGGGTCAGTACCATCCGAACTGTTTGCTAATCCTCCACTCTCCTTGGTTCTGGACTTCTCACACAACAGTCTCACAGGGGAACTACCATTGGTAGTTGGTACACATGGCAGTGGTAATGGTCCAGTATCCCTTCACATGGAAGGAAACAAGTTTCATGGACAAATTCCAAAAAGATGGTATCTACTAGTATCAACCGAACAGATTAATCTGTCTGATAATGACTTATCCGGTGCCGTGCCTGAATTCTTTGAGCAACTTCATATGCTGAAGCAACTTGATCTGTCTTACAATAACTTGGAAGGGTCTGTTCCTACAAGTGGGATCTTTGAGAATTCTGCTGCAGTAGTTTTGGATGGCAACAAGGGACTCTGTTCAAATTCCTCTGGGCGAGAATTACCACTTTGTCCTCACATCTCAGCATCAGCGACTAAAACAAAGCACCAACTGTCCTTGCTGGCGATCTCACTGCTAATTGTACTACCACCATTTACTATTGGTTCCCTAGTGTTGTTATGGTTTCTGCTCACTCTTTGGAAGAAAGGGCTGTTTTCATTTTCGCGATGGGATCTTGTGTCCAAGATGTTTCCTAATAGAAGAGAAGTGCATACAGCCCCGTTCCATGATGAGAAGAAGCTGAAGAGAGTGTCATACCAGGACATTCTTAAAGCTACCAACTGGTTTTCTTCGGTCCATACTATCAGCTCAACCTGCACTGGTTCAGTTTATGTTGGTAGGTTCAAGTCTGACAGGAGCCTAGTTGCCATCAAAGTATTCAACTTGAGTGAACCTGGTGGATATGATAGTTACCTTATTGAGTGTGAAGTGCTGCGAAGCATCCGCCATAGGAATATAATGCGACCTGTGACTGTATGCTCAACATTGGATTCACAAAACAATGAGTTCAAAGCACTAATCTTCGAGTTCATGGTTAATGGAAGCCTGGAGAGATGGTTGCATTCTGAGCAAAACAATGGAATCCTAGACAAAGTGCTAAGCTTTGGCCAGAGGATAAGCATAGCAACAGATGTGGCTTCTGCTCTTGATTATGTCCACAACCAACTGACGCCTCCTTTGATCCATTGTGATTTGAAGCCAAACAATGTCCTTGTGGATGATGACATGACTGCACGGCTCAGTGACTTTGGCTCAGCACAGTTCCTATCACCAGGTCTGGCTATTCCTAAAAGCATGGATGATGTTGGAGGAACCATTGGGTACATGGCACCCGGTGAGTTTTACCTTTTCCATTTCCGCTTAATTATAGTTTGTCTTGTATGTGTGTTTATTATTTTGATGCATTGCTTCTTCGCAGAGTATGGGATGGGTTGCGGGGTCTCCGTAGGAGGCGACGTGTATAGTTTCGGAGTGCTTCTGCTGGAGTTGCTTACCGGAAAACGACCTAGCGATGATATGTTCGTGGATGGACTCAGCCTTTGTAAGTTCTGTGAATCCATGCTCCCAGACAGAGTTGCAGAGATTCTAGATCCTCGTATGGCGCACGAGGAACATCAAGGAAGTGTAGAAGCATGGATGCAGAGATATGTCGTCCCGTTGGTTGCTCTTGGGCTGTCGTGCACCCTGGAATCTCCCAAGGACAGGCCTGGAATGAAAGATGTTTATGCGGAACTTTCTGCTATTGGAGCCTCTTTTCTGGAACGCCACGATGATTGACGAATAGTATATCAGTTCCGTTTTAGAGCATACTGATCCATTTTCGTTAAGAATGTATGCTTATATCTCAGGGTGCAGCTTTTGCCCTATCTATTTGACAAACTGCAATAGGCTTTGGGGACAGAGATGTGAATTGCAGTTAGCCATGATTGGATACTGGAAGCATCAACCATGCTTTGTTGTATATTTGCTGATTTTGTTTTATTTTGACATTGACGCGCATGTATTGTGAAATTCTTGTGCCGATTAATTTGTAACGGACGCGGTATGTAAAGGTGTTTTTCGCTGTATGTAAAGCCTCACCTTCACGTGCCATCTACCTTTGAACCAATTGAATTCCAGTCAACAAGTCATGGGGATTCAGAGTTGATGACAATCAAGAGTTAGATAAGCAGAATTCGATCTATTATTATTAGGTATACCCATAAAGTGGATTCTAATGAATTGCCACTGCTCAATTTATAATCAATTATGATACACCTCATAGAAGATACATTATACGGTGAACGCAGAAATTTCACCAAGAATCGAAGTATGTTTTCACTAAGAATTAAACATTGTTGCTCAGAAATTTCAGTCAATACAGATGATCAGATGCACATATTTCTTTGAATTGACAGATCCAAAAATCAGGTTTATATATATGCACCCAGGTTCTAGAAATATAGGCCGTGTTCGGCAGCCCTCTGCTCCGCGGCTCTGCTCTGGAGCGGCCGGAGCGGAGCGGCCCGCAGTGCATTTTTCTGGAGTTGTAAAACTGGCGCTCCGTCCGCTCCCGTATTATATGGAGCTGGAGAGCTGCCGAACAAGGCTATACTCTAGATACAAATAACACAATTAGGAAATACATTACGCACTAGTTTTCCAACATAGGGAGCTCCAGTACTGAACATGTACTATTTCTAGGAACTCAAATATTAATAACTAGAGGTCGGTTGAACCAAGATTTACAGAAAAGTATCCACGTCACAGATTTTTATTCAAGAACGTGTAGATCTGCAGGTTAATCAGCAGAGCTCAAAGAATGCCTCTTTGATAGACAAAATTCTGGCACAAACTTCTCCCATTCCCGGTCGATCTTTAGGCGATTCCATGGAACACAGGAGGGCAACTTCAACCAAGTGTACCATATATCTCCGCATAAACACTCTGTCACACGCAAGCTGCTGCTCGTGGGACAAATGGGGATCTAAAACCTCTCCAAGTCTACCTGGAAAGGCGGAGCTCACAAGCTTGTGCAGGCTCAGGCCATCAGTGAACATCGCATCAGTTGGTCGCCTACCGGTGAGCATTTCCAGAAGCAAGACCCCGAAACCGTAGACGTCGCATCCTGCTGAGACTTTGTATCCCATGCAATACTCTGTAAAGCATTTAGGCATTGTTAGTACAAGAGAAAAAACCAATAAGAAAATAGTGAAAACAAAGTTGAACTCACCGGGTGCGATGTATCCAATCGTTCCTTCCACACCAACCAAATCTTCTGGACTACCAGGAACTGAAGAGAGAAACCTCGCTGACCCAAAATCACCAACTCTCGCGGTCATGTCGTAGTCCAAAAGAACATTGCCTGGCTTCAAATCGCAGTGGATTAGAGGAGGTGTCAATTGGTTGTGCATATAATCCAGAGCCAACGCGACGTCCATTGCTATTCTTAACCTCTGGCCCAAGCTCAGTACTCTCTTGGGGCTAGTGTGGTGCAGCTTCGGGTGCACCCACATGTCCAGGCTTCCGTTGGCCATGAAGTCGAAAACTATAGCTTTGAATTCATTGTTCTCTAGGTCCACTGTCGAACATACGGTAACAGCTTTGACAAGATTACGATGGCGGGTGTTTCGCAACACCTCGCACTCGGTAACGAAGCTGTCGCGCGCACCATTCTCCTGGAGATGGAATAACTTGATGGCGACCAGGTCCGTGTCAAACTCAAACCTTCCAATGTAGATCGAAGCGGTGCGACTTGAGCAGATCTTGCTAACCGGAGAAAGCCAGTTGGTTGCTTTAACGATGTCACCATAAGAAATCTTATTCATTGTTTCCTTGTAGCATGGAGCTGCTTCTGCTTGCCTTCTGTTCAGAAGATTGACCAAAAAGCATGCAAGGGAGATCAAGGCAACAGCAATTGGAGGAATCACTTTTACCAATAAGAGTGCATTCTTCTTGCTCCCAACAGGTGATATTGTGGTACAAACTGGGAACTGATATAAGGTGGTGGTGGTTGCAATTGCACAAAGCTCTTCATTGCCAGCCAAGTTTACTGCACTATGGTTCTGAAAGATGCCACCAGTTGGAATCGGCCCTTTAAAGTAGTTCATAGACAGATCAAGTTGCTGCAAATAACCCATGTTTGCAAAGAACACTGGAATTTGTCCCGCGAGGGAGTTTAGGGAAAGATCGATCTGTTCGATGGACTTCAGATTGCTGAAAGATAGAGGTATGATTCCATAAAGCATGTTACTTCTGAATCTGAGAGAAGATAGTTGGACACATTGGCCAAGTGAAAGTGGAACTTGACCAGACAATCTGTTGAAGGAAATATCGAGTTGGAGAAGTTGAAGCAAAGCACCAATTGTAGCGGTATTGATCCTGTAAGGTGGTTATTTGACAAATCCAAACCTATGAGGGTAGTGCTATTGATGAGTTCACTTGGTATTGGTCCCTCAAGTCTGTTAAAAGATAGTTTTAGCATATCCAGTTGCTCGCAATATCCTAAAGTTGCTGGGATGTTCCCACTCAACTCATTGTTGTGTAGATAAAGCTTGTTCAGCCGAGAAAGATTACCTATTGTAGATGGGATCTGGCCAGAAAATTTGTTTCCTGATAGGATTAGGACAATCAGATGGCCTAGATTCCCAATAATAGAGGGAATAACTCCGGAAAGCAAGTTTTGGCCCATATCAAGCATTTGGCGGTTTCGAAGGTTAACAATCTCAACTGGTATTGTGCCGACAATTTGATTGTTTCCAAGAATTAAACGCACTAAACTTCTAGAAAGATTTCCAACTGATATAGGGATATTTCCATTCAGGGCATTTCCATTCATATGCAATGCCTGAAGTGTCGCACAGTTTGTCAGAGAGACAAGGAATTCCCAACCTTCAGCTTGTAGGAAGTTACTTTCTAAATTTAGAAAGGTTAAGTTAGATAAAGATCCTAGAGATGGGATCCGCCCCTCTAGTAAGTTGTGTCCAAGATCAATCCTTCGGAGATTCGATGCATTTGCTAGCGATGATGGAATTAATCCCTCGAATTTGTTACCCGACATGGACAGTAATTTAAGGTTCTGTAACGTGTTTCCAATGCAAGATGGTACTCGTCCAGTAAGATTATTCTGGTCTAATCGAAGATAAATGAGTGATGACATGTTACAGAGTTTGGTGGAGACGTGGCCCGACAGGTAGTTGTTACTTAAACTGAGCATCCTAAGGTTCTGAATAAGGCTCAGAGTCTCTGGAACTGAGCCCGATAACATGTTTGTGTCAAGACGTATATATGTGAGAGAAGAAACATTTCCCAATGATGAAGGTATGCTTCCAGAAAGGTTGTTACTTGAAAGATCAAGAAATTGAAGGGTTGACATCTTATGGAAATCTAGGATAGGGCCGACAAGCTGGTTTAATGAGAGATCAACACTTTTAAGAGATCTTCTAGTGCCTAATGATCTAGGAATGGTACCTACAAGGTTATTCATTGAAAGGATCATAAACTGTAGCTGTCGAAGTGTGCCTAACTCCTCTGGAATGCTTCCAGAGAATAGATTTTCTGAAAGGTCTATCCGTTCTAGTGAAGTAAGGTTAGCTATCCAAGGAGATAACTGACCATTGAGCTGTGCAGAGTTTAAGTTCAGGGAGACCACACGAGTTGGAAGAGTAATACCAAGTTATCCCAAGCCGATCGAGTGGTCCCAAGCCGACAGTACCTGGCGCGGATCACTGGTGATGCTCTCCTTGAAGGAGAGGAGGGCCTGCTGGTCGACCTCGGACCCGTTGCTGATGGATTTCGCGACGGTGTTGGACGACATGAAGATGAGAAGGTTGGAGAAGAGAATGAGGATGGCATGTGGGGAAAGAGAGCGGAGAATTCCTGCAGGTGCCATGTCTAATGCAGTGCATCTCGTGCTCATTCCTTCTCTATATGTGTCCCTCAGAGTAGACTTGGTGTTGACTTGCTTGTAACCTCCATCAGAGACCAACATCGCAGCGATAGAACAACATGTGGATGGGAATCGACAGGAAAAGGTGACCAAGACCCAGAAAGAGATGGTCTGCAAAGACTGCTCCATCCATGAAGTTGATCCAACACCTGCGATACTTTGCTAGGTGTGCTGCTGACAGCTTGGGACCGAGAGACTGGGAGAGGGTTTCATTTTCAGGGCCTAGTACACAATTACTGCAGATAGCTCAAGAATGGAGCTGACACGGCTCTGCGGTTTTGCCTGGTGGGGAGGATGAAAAACAGCCAGGAGGGGGATTCAGTTTGCCTTCCTTCCCCTGGTCGAAATAAACGAAATGCTTGCGGCGATGATAGGAGGGGGCTCATGTTAACATACAAGTCGGTGGAAATTGTTAAGCATGCAGAGTCGGATCTTGATTTTGTCAAGAAGATGGGCTGGGCATTCCAACAAGCATTTGGTGTGCAACAACAGCTTATTCTTGACAGAGGGACCGGTGGTATGGCAACATGCTCTGCTTGATTGAGATGCGGTGGACAGGACTCTGTGTGGTTGGACCGACGGACGAAGAGGGAGGGAGCACACATACTTGCATGACGGCGACCTCGATTTTCGGCTTTTCGGCGGGCGTCAGCTCCGGCGCTGCACTCCTCCGGCCCTCTTTCAACAAGAGAAACAGAGGCATGGCGAAGGTGAACTCAGGAGCAAGCGAAGGTCTAGCACGATGATGGGAGTCTGCGGCGTTCCCTTCACAAACTTCTCCTGCCCTGCTCGCCGGAAGGGGAGGCTCTCCCTCTGTCCACAACCATGAAAACAGCGGGGGAAACGGTTGGAGGCTGTAACAGGGTGAGAGATAAGCAATTCTGCCGTGCGCGTGCGCGGATCCACCGTGGTTGCTTTGAGATTCGTAATACTTTTTTTACTGCTTTAAAATTTTCTTTTGCCTTGTTTCAAAGTGTTACATTAGATTTTGTTTTGTTTTCTCTCGCTCCGTAGTGTATGTTGTTTGATGTTTCATTGTGTATCGTCGTGTCGTATCAGCTAACCTGATCCAAAAGAACTGTATACCTTTGTGTTGGTACACAGTGAAAACATGATGCACACCGAAACAAGAAAAGGAAAAACTAACGAAACGTTTTGAAACAAGATAAATGTTGACAGCAACCATAAAAAGTTGCATGAAATTCAAAGCAACCACGGATGATGGATTCATACACAGAATATCATGTGCATGGTGGATAAACCACTCTCAGAACGGAGTTGCATGAAATTTAGTCAAAGTCAAAGCACACGATGTTTGACCAAATTTATATGAAAAAATATAAGCATCTATAATATTAAAACTATATAATACGAAAATACATTTCATGGTGCATCTGATAATATTTATTTCATATTGTGAATGATGATATTTTTTAATATAAAGTTGGTCAAACTTTACGAAGCTTGACTTTAACCAAACCTTATATGCAGACTAAAAGGAAACGAAGGAAGTATCGTCAGCACACTTTGGTCACTGTAAAGCGTTCAGCCAGAAGTGGATATGAGATGGATAATAATGTCCAAAAAAATATTTCTGTGGCGTTTAGCCAGAAAACGTCGGTCTGTCCTCACAGGATTTTTTTTCCAGTGACTAACAATGATCCTGACTCCCTGCTTGTTAATTTCACCATCCTGTCTACCATCGACACCGCTTGCCAATCGCACGACTATTTTAACAGTTATTGCGACTCTGGCAATAAGGCAAAAATAAAATCCAAGCTAGTAATCACTTTGGTGAGTAGGGAACCAACAAATAAAAAGCATACCATATATAGACCTAACTGTAACAATTTTCTGCTCCGATTAAGGACGCTTCGCTAATCAAAAAATGAACAGATCACAAGAACTGAGAAGAAGGCACAATCTTTGGAACAAGAACGCACGACGAGGAACTAGAAATCTGAAGCCAAGAGGCGGCCTCCAGCAAGTGAAACGACGGCTCAGTTGATCAACACAACCAGAGTTTGTGATGACTCTGATGCCCTACAACCAAAGGTAAGGTGTCACACCCTAGCTAGTTATGCATTAGAGTGTTGCATCATGTTTACTTTTCATCAGAAACTTGAAATGGGGATGACAGAACCCCCAGTCCCCTCTGAAACCAACTAGGGTTACTAAAATAATTTTTCAATGAACTTGAAATGCCCTTCTAAAATGCCCATCATTTTTGTCTTGGTTCAGAACCTCTGCCAAAAGTGGTGCACATTTTCCTACGCCATCCTAGGGTTTTTGAATTAAATCATAAATATTTGAATTTGGGCATTTAAAATAATATAAAATATTTAAATGCTCAAATATCTCCAAACTAAAATGTTTCATGTTGGAAATAATCCAACTATGGGCCAGGAATAGTTTGCTGATTTTTGAAGTTGCCTAGGTATTTTATTTAATTCAACAAAGTTGCAGATATATTAAATAAAAACAGAAACAGAAAAAAAGGGGAAAACTTACCTGGCGCCACCGCAGGCCCACCAGCCAGCCCACCTGGCCGGCCCAGCCCGGCCACCGCTCCAGCGAGCTGCTTGGCTCGCCAGGCAGGCAGCCAAGGTGCTCGGCGGCGGCACCGCAGCTCGCCACGCAGCTGCTCGCCGCCTCGCCGCCTCCCTCGCCCGGCTAACGCCGTGAACCGGCCTCCCTCTCTCCCCCGAACCCCCCAGACACCCCCTCTCCTCTCCAGCTCCTCCCCCTCGCACGCCCCAGCCATGGCCGACGCCACCGTCGCCGCACCACCGTCGTAGCCGTGCTCCCCGTCGTCTCCACGCCGCGCCACCCTGTCCAGAAGCTCCGCCGTCCTCTACTCCTTCGAGCTAGCCGAGCCCCGAGCGCTCGCGTGCCTCGAAGCCGCCGCACCGACCTCGCCCGAGCTCGCCGTCGCCGGAGATCCCTTTCAACGCCGTCGCTGCCTCAGCTCGTCCCCGACCCCGCCGGTGGCCTCTACGGGAGCGCTGTGAGCCTAGCTACTCCCCCGACCCTCTCTCTCTCATTCCCGAGCCGTGTAGCCACCGCACGAGGATCACACGCCCGCACCGTCGCGGACCTCGTCGCCGACGTGCTTCCGGCCACACTCCGGCCACAAGATGGTGTCCATCTTGCTCACCGAGTCCCACAGCACCTAGCTAGCCACTCCACGAGCCTCACCAACCCCTCTAGCGCCAAGTTCATCCTCGACCGAACCCCGGTGGCCGCCAAAGTCGTCGCCGGCGCCAACTCCGGCCACCCCGACCCCAACGGGCTCCGCCA